AAGTCGTTGTCTGACGACGACGTCGCGGTTGGGACGGTCGGGTCGTCGGTCGTGTTTCGATGAGAGATGTAGACATCGGGGTTTATACCGTCGGTGCCGGTTCTTAGTAGGATGTGATCGAGGGTCGCGTGACGTTGTGTATCAGTTAGACGGTTCAGTCGTAGGGACCAGGTTCGAGGAGGTGTGGTCGTGAAATGTCGGTTGTCTATGGGTGAGTCGTTCTCGTGGTTGACTTGTGAGTCAGGGTATAAGTTGACTGAGTTGTACGACCCGTCCGGGATATAAGTCGGAGTTCAGGTCGTAACGGTTCTTGAGTCGTATGGTATGTGGTTGTTTACTGTGTCGTCGGCTTGTACAGAGGAACAGTAGTGGTTCATGTGTGGAGTTGAGATGTCTTCGTGTCAGTCCTTAGGTACGTCTGTCGTCCAGTCGTTACCTCGGTGCTTCATAGGGTCCAAGTCTGGGGTCGAGTAGATGAAGCAGTCTGTCGTAGCGGTCAACAACGTCCACCGTCGGCGCGTCGTCTCAATGGGACGCGCGCCAGATGGACTACGACGCACAGTGTCGATGTGTGTGGGACGGGAGCCACGCGACGTCCTCTGACGACGTCCAGTCTCGGTCATGGTGCGACGAAAGCAGAGGTCGACGAGGTGACTGTATGCCCTCCTGTTGTCCACTGACATCAATTATTAGTGACACGTCATATTACATCGTGCCACAGTATGACCACGGGTCAAAACTTACAATAAAATCAAAAGGGAGGAGACTGGAGCGAGACAAAAGTAAAAAGTAGTCAAAGTTGGGATAGAAACGTTGCGACGAAAAGGACTTGGTTCCATCTTGCGGAAACAAAACAAACACACAGACGGTGTCACCCTAAGTCATACTCTCCCCTGCATGTTTATAATAATACTTGTAATTAATAGATACCGTGCGACAATAATGAAATGTCTGAATATAACGCCCCGGGCCCAAACTAAACCCACGTCGACTTAACCTTCCGGTCGACACAACCACCTGTCGCGAACTGTGACTTCTTTTTTTTTTTCTCGTCGAGTTGCCCTCGAAGTGGAGTCTGCCGTCGGTTGTCCCCTCTGCTACGCTTTGTCATTACTTTTGTTATCGTCCACTAAATCGGGGACGCAAGGCGTGACGGGAGGGTCCGAACGAGACACCATTTGTGCCGAGTTTATATACGTCGTCTAAGTCTTACATAGGACCGAATCGCCTGTCCTCCCTCTTTACTTTCGATAAGACTAGACAGACCCAGTTAATCCTCCTTTACGTCAAAAGGTTTGTCGTTTTCTATTCTGGCCTTAGAGATAAGTGCATATAACCTGCGGCGTGAGAAGAAAAAAGTAGGGAGAGAACGAAAAGCGAGACAGAAATCTTGTAGAGACGTCGAAAGAAAAAAAAGGGGAAAATATGGGAGGGGGGAACGAGAAGGGGGGGGAGGGGAAAGAAAATCCTATTGTTTAGAAAGGGAACGAACCGCAAGAGGGGTGGGGGTTTTAAATCGTATGGGGTAGAAAGAAAAAGGATGTGTTTCTTGTCGGAAGAACCCTTTTTTTTATGTTTTCCCAGAGCCCCGGTATTTTATTTTTTTAGAAGGGGTCGGGGTTAGGGGGGTCGTGGGGGGGGAGAAAAAGTTTCAACCACCCGGTCGTGGGGGTCCCAAAAAGGGAAGGGGGACGGGGGGAGGTGTTTAGGGAGTTGTGGTGGTTCAGGGGGTTTAAATATCGTAAAAAGGTGCCGGGGGTGGGAATTTGGAAAACCAGTGGGGGTGGTTTGGTTTTGAGGGGTAAGGGGGGGTTTTTGGAAAAAACCGGGGGTATTTTCCTAAAAAAGAATTTGGAAAAAAAAAAACGTATGTGTAGGGTAAGGGTTCCAAATTTAAAAAACATAAGGGGCAAGAAAGGAGAAGGAAAAAACCCTAAAATATTAGCCTAGGTTTTTTATTGTTTTTTTTTGTTTATTTTGGAAAATAACCAAGGCTCCCAAAAAACTAAACACGCTAGTTGTCTAAAAAAAAATTTTATAAAAACTAAGAAAAAAAACCCAAATAAAAAAAAAGAGGACTAAAAAAAAATTTAAAACTCAAAAAGAGACAAAAAAAATGGAAAAAAATAACAGTGAGAAGGTCAAAAAGGAAAGTTGTGGACAATTAAGTGGTGTTAGGTTCCCACCTACTGTTCGACACGGAAATATGGGACACTTCTTAGGCAAGTGAGTTGGGAGTGTTAGAAGGGAAATAGTGACCGGGGGGGAAATGTTGGGGGAAAAAAAGTGGATGAAGAGGAGTGAAAATTAGGGTAAAAGGGAAAAAAAAAAAAAAGAGGACCTTGGTCTTTGAACAAACCGGAGGGAAAAAGACAGAGGGGGGAGAGATAAAGGAATAAAACGTTAAACTTTTAACAACTAATCAAAAAAAAAAATAAAAGTTTTGGTTAGGGGTTTAAAGCAGGGAAAGGTAAGTGGTTTATTGGGGGGGGAGGAGAAAGTTTTTTTACGAGGGGAAACATTCCAAAACCCCCCTTTCGGGGTTTGTTAGGGGTTTTTTGTCGTTTGTTCGGGGTCGTGACAAAAAAGACGAACGGTTCTTCGCAAATCTTAAAAAGAACTTTCGAGGGGTAAGTTTTTTGTTTGGAACGTAAAAAAACAAAAAAATACAAAGCCGTGGTTGGCGGGGGGTGGGGGTAAATTTTTTGTTGGGTGTTGTTTGTGAAACGGGGCCACGGTTCTTTTTGTGTTGTGGGGAGGTTGTTTTTTACCGTTCGCGAGTTTCGGGAGGAAACTAATTGTTCCAATTTTATTACTTTGACGAAACGTCAACCTTTTCCACCGTTTCTTACAAAAAAAATTTGGTTTCTCCCAAAAAAACTTGGACCTGGAACACCTAAAACAAACATTTTAGGACAGTCTTAGAAAAACAAAAACAATTTTAGCGAGTTTTTCTTGACAAAAACTTCCCAGGGTGACAAACCCGACAAAAAGACAAACCCAACCACCGGAAAAACTTTCCCTTCTTTACCTTTTGCAAAAAAATATACACCTTTTTCAAGTCTTAAATTTTTTTTTTTGTTTTTTACCTTGAAGAAAACATTTTTTGTTAACAATTACCTTTCAACATTTGGGAAATATTTCTGTAATTTTAAAAAAAAAAACATTAGTTCTTTACCGTTTTTTTTAGTTTTCTTGCAGGGTTTTAAAAAACTTTAGTTGGAGAAAGATTTACTAAACGGAAAGGTACTTTATTCATTTATTTAATGTTTAAGAACAAAAAAAAAAATTTAAAAATAAACAGAAAAAACAAAATAAGTCGTGTCCGAAGGGGGGGGTTCGTTCCAAGGTCTTAAAGGTTCAAAGGTTTAGTGAACTTTCGTACTAGGAGAAGACCCCGAGTCGGGTGGGGGTTCGTACTATCCGAAGAAAAAGTGAGTCTGGTAAAAAACGTGTTTTACCAAAAATAAAAGTCTTGGTTCCGGTTTTTGTTCAAGGGGGGGGAGGTTTGGACCCGGGGGGTTTCGGAAAAAAACCTTTGTTTGTTGTTGAGGGACCGGGGTCTGACCGGGGGCGTTTCCGGGTCTCAAGTCCAAAAGTTTGTCTTCGGGTTCTTTTAAAAGGAAGCCACGACCCGTTTTTCGGGGAAGGCTGGGAAGTCTTCCCGACCAGGGTTAGACCCCAAGAAAAAAAAAAAAACGGGTCGAAGGGAAGAGACTGAAGACCGTTCTTTTGTTTTTGAAAGGCCAAAAAGAAGAAAAAAAAAAGGTGGCCTCCGACGTCCAGTTTCCCAGGGTTTCGTTTCTCTGGTTGTAACCTCCCATAACGCCTGTTATACTGAAAGTCAAAAAAGGAAGTTTTAAGAAAAAACTTTTACCCAAAAAAATTTATAAAAAGAAAAGGAAGAAGAGGCTGGAAAACGGAAAAAAAAAAACGTTAAAATTTATGGGTCAACGTTTTCGTTGCATTTTTTTTGCTTCTTTTATTTAAATAATTTGAAAAAAAGAAAAAAGGAAGTTTTCTCGGTGGCCAGTTTTTTTTTTTTTATTTTTAAACTTAAATTTTAAAGAATTTTATTTTTACTTGGGACTAAAAAAATACGAAATGAGGAAACAAAAAAAAAAAACTTAGAAAGAAAAACGGGAAAACTGAGAAAGTTTAAATAACAGAAAATATCCTTTAGTTCGGTGTCTTCTTTTTGTGTGGAAACCCTTCCCTTTTTTTGGTTTTCGATCTCCCCCACTGTTCCATTTGGGTTTTCGTAGAAAAGGGGGGTCGGTTTTGAAGGAAAAAAACGTCTAAAATTTTTTTCAGTGGCCTAAAAAAGAATTCTTTTAAATCTTCAATTTTTTACGGAAAAAAAAAAAAAAAAAAAACCCCTCACTTTTCTTGTTCGAAAGAACTTTGGTTTTTAACAAAAAAAAAAAAAAAAAAACGTTTTTTCGTTAAAAGAACGTTATTATCGGCCGAACACCGAAAAAAAAGTCACCCCTTTTAAAATCACCACGACCGAAAAAAAAAAGCTTTTAGTTCCACCCTTTTAACCGTTTCAAAGCTTTAGGGTGACGTTGAAAAAAAAAAAAAATTATATTAACAGTTGAAGACGAAAAAAAAAAGTACCGGTGTTGTTTCTCAAAAAAGAATTTATTCCCTCCGGGAAAAACACCGGGAGGTTTTCACCTATTCAACCCAACGAAACCCTTTGAAGCTTAAAGTTTCCGTTCAAAAACTCAAAGGGGGTTCGTTTTTTTCAGGTTCGTTACAGCAACACAGGGACCGGGTTTTTCTTGTGAAAAGAAGTTTTTGGGGTTTTTTCACGAAAAAGGAACGACCCCCTTAACAAAAAGGTGTCAGGACTTACCAAAAAAACCCAAATCCAGGGCGAAAAAAAAAAAACCCTATTTTCTTTCGCAGGGATTTGTTTTTAACTTGGGGAACATTTAACATTTTTACATTTCAACGTTTTGAGCCAACTTGTTTATTTCGTGTGCGCCCAACAAGGAAAAAATTGGTCAAAAAACAGCCAGGGAAGAAGGGAAAGAGATGAAAAAGTCTTGGGAACTCTTTTAAAATATTCGCGAAAAAAAAAAGAAAACAAAACGGTTACCAAAAAACGTCATTTTCAAGTTGTGGTTTTGTTGAAAAATTTTGGAAAAAAAAAAAACGGAAAACCCAAAAAACCTTGTGTAAAAGTGAAAAAGTTTTAGGAAAAAAATTGTTCTTTCACTTTTCTTTTGGTTTAAATTTTTTTGGAAAAAAATATTTTTTCCAATTTTCCACCCCTCTACCGGACAAAAAAAAACGGGAAAAATCGTTTTTTTTGTTAAGACGCCCTCAAAAGGGCGGGTTAAAGGAGGGGTGTTTTAATTTCTTAAAAAATGAAATTGATGATTGAAAATTGAATATAATCGAAAAATTAATTTCAAAAAAAAAAAAAAAAAAATTGGCTTTTGAAAAAAAAACTTTTTAAGCGGGGGGAAATTTTTTACGAAATTGAAAAGAAAGACTAATTTGTGGAGACTTATCGTTCGGGATAGTTTTGACACTGGGTCGGTAATAATTATCAAAAAAAAAGTCTTTTAACAAATTTAAAACAAAAAGGGAAGTTTTACAGTTCTTTAATCGTGATTTTTTAAGAACCAGGGACGAAAAAAAAAATTCGAAAAGTACAAAAATTTTCAAAAAAAAAATTTCGCAGTGGTTTACCAACCCCTTTATTATTAAGTTTTCTGGGAAAACCGGCTTTAAGGACGTCCCGGAAGGTCTTTCCGTTCTTGATTTTTGGAAAAAAACGTTGATAAAAAAAAAAAAGAAAAACATAGCCAAAAGGGGAAACCTCCATTGTTTTTTAGTAAAAACAATTCGAAAAGGGTTTTTCTTAAAAAAAGAACCCAGAAAATAGCACCGGACTTTTCTAAAACAAAACAAAACTTGTTTTTTGAAAACCCAAAATCAAAAAAAGAAAAAGTAAAAAGAAGTCTTGGTTTAAAAACTCATAAAAAAAAGGGAGGGAAGAAAAAAAACAGGGTTAGGGTGGTGATATCCTGACGCAGAGAGAGCCTGTTGTTGAGGTTGGGCTACACAGTTCTGACAAGTCTGTTGGACTTTCAAAGGGAAAGTCAAAGCCGCTGTCGCCTGCTGCTGCTGCTGCTGCTGCTGCTGCTGCTGTTGGTGGTGGTGTCCTGGTGCTTGGTAGCTTTGTGCAATATGTTGTGGCACAGCTGATGCTAAAATGTTTGCTGCCACTTGAGTCTGTTGCACACTTTGAGGTGTGTAGTTAGCAGCACTGGCTGTATGCTGCAGGTTGACTGAACATTGAGCAGCTTGAGCCGGGGCTGCAGCAGTGTGTTGGCCAACATATGGAGGAGCAGGGTAACTGTGTCCAGGCTGGAGGTACTGCTGTGGTGCGTGCACTGCTGTGCTGGATGATGGCACGCCCTGTACAGATGGTTGATTCTGGTGACCTGCTGAACTGGCCTGAGGACAAAAAAGGAGAGAAATTCAAATTAGACCCTCTTTGGGGTGTATTACGGGAAAAGGTAAAAATCCCACAAAAGCTTATAAGTTGCCTAACACATTACAGGAAGCAAGTAGAATGAGAGGATGAAGGACACAAATAAGTGAATGAAGCATCCGTTTCAACAATGAGCAGGCGGTGACAGGTGTGCGCTATAATAAGGATACAAGAGAGAAAATGTAGGAAAGACCGAGGGGAGTGAGGTCAGAGGGCCTCCCTTTCTCCTTCGATCAGAGCCCATCTACCCAAAGCAAGCTGAGGAGCAAGACAGCTGCAGCATTGTGCCAGTATAGCAGGAAGGAAGATTTTTCTAAAATGTGGGTCAGCTCTGGAAGGGATTGGTTAAGGTAAATCAGCAGGGAAACGTTGTATATTAGAGATAGGGCTATTGTCCTTTGACAGAAGCAAGCCTTTGATTTTCAGAGGACAGACAGCTCTTTAGGCCTTTACAGGCAGCAAGACTCAGACAGCACATGAGACCAGCTCCATGCAGAGTAAGGCTGTACCTCATACAGGATTGGAGAAGCTTTGATCAGTTAAGCAGGGGTTGGCCCAATATGGGGCACCAAAGCGACTTGCTAATGTGACCTACCACTCCTAAAGCCCTGGTATCAGTGTCCTGGAGGGGTTCTCTGTCCCCAACCAGAGTGCCACTAAGGAGATGGCGCTTCAGGCTGCAGTCTCCGTCACTGCTGGCCATCCTGTGGGCAGCTGAGGGGTGCAGCATGGTGGCTTGGGTGTGTGTGGTGTGACACGGGGCTGCTTTGCGGCTTATTATGTTGAACAGTGACTGCTGCAGTAGTGAGAAATCAGAGGAATCACCAAAACCTTTCAGCCGCCCATGACTAAGGGTTTGTCTAAAGTCACATGGACAGTGGTGGTGTGGCATGGCAACAGAAGGGCGGTGGTAGCTCCCTTCTCTTGACCTTAGGAGAAGCAAAGAGAGGCAGGCCTGGCACACCTGGCCTCTTTGCATTGCCAGCTGGTGATTATGATGAGAGGTCAGACTCAGAAGACTACTGAGGTCAGAGTGTCTGCGTCCCCCCCGCACAGGCTGTGTTGAGTTCTCACTGGTGGACACTGGTAGTGGTAAGATGCTGGTGTCACTAAAGCGACGGCACTCATTGTGTGAAGGGACAGATAGTACGGGCAGAGCACTCAGGGAGGGGAACCCATCCTTAGCCTCTGAGTGAAGATCAGGGGGGCTGAGCTCCAACCGGACCTCTGGTACTGTGGGGGTGGGGCTTACAGATCTCTGCGACTGAATGAGGGCATGCAGTTGGGCAATCTGGTTTGCCCTTTGACTGTCAAGAACAGGAGCACTTCCTCTCCGGGTTGTAGCTCCCAAACGAGTCCTGAGATCTGGGCTCAGTGTGGCCCCCCATACTTCCCCCTTTTCACAGGAGTGTGGATGATCTGTTAGAGGAGGGCTGCCGCTCTGGCACTGGTCAAAGAGCAACCCAAAAGCAAAACACATGTTACTCAAAATAGACAGATGAAACCCCCTAAAAAAAGAACTACATGATGTGATGAGGTCAAACAAACGTGAGGGCAACTACACATGAATGTATGGGAAAGACATAGGAGTGTCATTTTGTTAGTGTGTGTTATTGAAGATTGATCTGTAAATGTCCAGAACAGTGAATGCATGTTTAATTGGGCCTGTGCTCAGGCGCACAGGAGCGATGGCTACTTTTAAGGAATGTGTGTGTATAATAATAAATCAAAATGTACAAGGTCCACCTGCGTGTGTATGCTTTTGATACATACCTGCTGCGTTGCCATAGTAATAGGCTCCAGCAGGGACTGGTAGAGGACACTCTGCTGGCTGCTGTGGGAGTCTGAGTAGACGGTGGAGCCCATGCCACTATCCAGTGTGCTGTCTGCTGCAGGGACAGACAAATCATGCTCTCGTAAAGAAGTCAAGGTTAGGCTCATGTATTTCTGATTGGAGGAGAACACACTCTCTTACATGTCACTGAGGTTGCACTGGCTGGTAGGTTACGCAGCCTGTTGTGCTGGTCTGCCTCTGGCTCTTCTGGCTCTAGCAAAGGCTGCCCTACATGTGCTACCCCAGCGGAGATGCCTTGAGACGGAGTCATCTGAACCCGCTGACCCGCGTCAGCTAGGTCCGCCGCGGCCGCAGCAGACACGGTTCTCTCTCTTCTCCATTTAATCAGTGCCACACGGTCCCTGATCGACTTTCCCACAGTCTTAGCATCACTCTCATGGAAGAAGCCAGACTCCACCTGACAAAGAAAAAGGGAAGAGCATGACTTCCAGGATATTTTTAGCACGGAGCATGTGAGAGAAGAGAGGGCCCATTGTGTAAGAGAGAGAGAGAGAGAGAGAGAGAGAGAGAGAGAGAGAGAGAGAGAGAGAGAGAGAGAGAGAGGGTACAAGAAAGGAGGTATTTCAAGGGGATCAGAGTAGTGAGGAAGTATTCCCTTTGTCAGGATTATTATATCTGCATATGACAAAGGCAGAATGCATTGAACAGAATACATGCTTAAAAAAACGTTTTGTCTTAATATTTCAAAGAAAAAAAGCTAATATGCTCTGCAAAATAAATCCAATGCTATTTAAAAAAACATTCATCTTACTTGCAGCAACTTAAAGTTGCATGTAATGGAAAACACATACTTGTTACTAGACATCACATGCACTAGTAACACAAAAAAGGGAGAACTACGCCCATCAACAGATGAAACACATCTATCCTGTCGCTACAGAGTGATTCATTAGAGTGCATGAGGAGTGACCTGACATTGGAGCAAGCTGCCCCTACAATCTCATTGTGCTGCTGGCCCACGTGTCTGCTCGCGTGCCCGAGGCAAATGTTACACAGAGGCCTTACATTTGAATCCAAGCTTCTCAGCCTGGACAAGGCCAAAACAGTACATATAGATAAAGGGAGAGAGAGAAAAAAATAAATAGGGGATGGGGCGGAAGAGAAAGAAAGAGATACTACATTTTTTTTGTAAATATTTTAGAGCCTGATTATAATGCAGATGACACGCCTCACAGGCATTCACTTAAGATTTCATAAAGTCTATTTGGAACATCTGGTAATACATTGCAGATGTTGCTCAGTCCCCAAGCCTCAGTCCTAACACACATCTGTTTCAAAGCTTGAGGTCATTTTCAATAGTTCCCCTGAAAGGACATTCTGAACAAAAGGATCCTCCTTTTAAAAAGTCTTTAAAAGGTCTTGGTTTCCCTACTGTTTCTGGTCATCTGTAACCATTTCCTTTTATTTCCTTCTATTTTTTAAGACCGTTAAAGAACAAAGCCTGGCAGTGAATATGTTTATATTTTCCATCTGAACTTCAGCTGTGTTAACTCAACTCTTTAAACTCTCCTAATCCCATCCCCAATAAATAATTTCATGGTGCTGCAGAATGTTAGATGAGTGATATAAAAAGGTTTAAGCTTGGTTTAATCATGGCTCCCACACTGAGCATTTTTCTGGGCCAGGTTTTTATTGCAGGGCCTGTGGGTGCTTTATCTGATGGCGTTCAATCAAAGCGATGTAAACAAAAAAAGGGAGAAAACAAAACCCCAATCACTGTTTTCCTGAAGGAGCACAGCAAGTTATCAGTAGCAATCTGCATTTGACAGCATTCCCCAATGATCAGATAAGAGTAATGTCAGCAGCTAGAACACACTTAACCAGAAAGACAAACAAAGCATGACAAACTGCATAACAAACACGGGTTAAAGCTGTCATCAAAGATGTAAGGGAGGAGTGTTTCCTGGATTCAAATAAGGATTCTTTTATGTCTGAACACAAACTCAGGCACGTTATGCCTTCATTGAAAGTGGGCTTAGAAGGACTTAGAAGGGGTCAAACAAACATTTTTAAGGGTAGGCATCACAATGTTAAACAAAAAGTAAATGAATCACAGGATTCCTAATCCCGATTCATCTCCAAATATTTGATGTCCCTAACCCTTTTTCTGAGAACATAAATCACTCACCATCTCTTGTGCCACGACCTCAGGGACGTCCTTTTCCAGGTCAAACATGAACTCGATGGCACCAGTCTCCTTGTATTTTCCTTTTAGTTTCTTGTGGTCCTCCACCCAAAGTTTAAGGGCTATCGAGTCCTTTTTCCCATCATCGTCCTCAGCTAGCTCCACCCTAACACCTGTGTCCTCAGCAAAGAAGGCATGGTTCAGCAGCTCCTTGATGGTGTACCTGAGAGGAGAAACACCAAAACTCAGGCAATAATGTGTACAGAACACACTGCTGCCACTTTTCTGTAATGTACAGTGTTTGCAGATAGCATCATAATGGTGGGCTGCGTGATTTCATTTTCATTCTAATTGAATTGTTTATTTGAACCGGGACAGTGCACATTGATGAACACTTTAAAACAAAATAATGCTTACAAGTGTAAATGAGCCGGATTTTAGCTTTGAGCTAATTTCCATCCGTAGTCCCGTCACATACAACATATAAGAACATGACATTTGTATACATAGCAAAAATAAATACATCAGTGTTTCCCACAGAATTTGATTCTATTTGTGGGGGCAAACGTTATTATTAATAATGATTCAAAAAAAAAAATTATAAAAAAAAAAAATACTTTTTGTTTTATAATTTTTTTTTTTTTAATTTTCCATTTTTATTTTGTAATCATCTCGCGACCCCCACTCGGGGTCTCGCGACCACCCCCACTTTGGGAACCTCTGCATTAGACCACCAAAAAATAAATAAAAATAATAATAATAATATATATATTTTTTTTTATGAGATCCATTTGTGGCGGACGATATTTAATTTTGGCGGCCCGCCACAAATAAATCAATGTATGGGAAACACTGTACATGATATGCAGGAAGAGCATGAGCAGCATACAAGCATTTACCACATGGCAGTACAATGTAGCGGCTATGATATATAAAGTGCAAGAGGAGATGCCCTTTTATAAAAGTGCATTTAGCGGTGATTACACGTCTGTTTGTTTCTCAACCATTCTTTAAGTTTTCCTTTAAAACTATTGAGAGTGGGACAATCCCGTATCTCAGTTGGGAGGCTATTCCAGAATGAGCTGCCTTTAATGGAGAGGACATTTTGTCCAAAAGTTGTCCGTCTACGGTGGACTTCACAGTCTCCTCTGATTCCTGACCTAGTGCAGCGTCCAGTGTTTTTTGTGGATGAACTCCCCTAAGGGAATAGATCATAAAGGGACGTGGATTTCCTTTTGTGCAGAGACAGAGCAACTCGCTGAACCCAATCAGGCTTTCATAAAATAAGCCACTGGAAGCTAACTAAGGGTTCTTTTCCCCTCGGTAAACAAACTCATTATGTAACATAAATTGAAAGACACCCTGCAGATACGGCGGGAGACTGCAGTGCAGCTGAGAGGCCGACTGTCAGCGCCACGGCAGCGGAGCAGGGGAGGCGAGATAAGGCATGAGAAAGATGAGAAGGCACCTTGTTGGCCCGACTGGCTGGAGGCTGGACAATGATGGGCACTCACCGCTCCTCTTTCTTTTGGCAGATACACTCCCCAATAATCTCCTTGATTTCAGGGTCCATGACCTTGTTGTAGCTGGCTGGCTTCACTCCCTGAGGAGAGGGAAATATAAACAGATGCTGAGGGCACGCAATGGAAGGATGTTGTGGTAATATCATAAAAAGAACAATAAAGGAAAAGGGTGAGATGTTTATGCGACGCTCCACCCTAAATCTTATCTTTATCACTCACACCAGTGACAGAGCACGGCAGCCGAGGTCAGCCTGAATCCAAGTCAATTGCACTGATTTGGAAAAAACGGATTCAAATAAATCTTGAAAATCACTTCTCTTTATCTGAGATCGATATGTGCATCAAATGAGACCAGAAATGAACTTGGTGAGTTTATTGTTTGTGAACTACAATGAGAACAAATCTGCATTAATGGTGCTATGGCATTTTAACTTTTCAAAACACCCTGAGTGTGGATGGATCGTGACAGCAGAAGTGGTTTGAGAAGTTTCTATAGACATTTCCATGCCCTTCCTGAGTTCCATACTCCAAATATTTGAAGTTGTAATATTTTGAACTACTTTGAAAAATGGTGGAATTTCTGGTAATCCTACATGTTATTAGATGCAACACTTTCTGCATTTAAGTAATGATATATATGCATTATCTAGATTGAAGTTCCTTCTAATGATGCACATGCTCAAAGAGTGGTATAAAGCTATCAGGGCTTCTCTTTGATCAATCTGCTATTAATATCCTGCAGTGGTCCCTGCAGGCCACTCTATGCATACAGTTACAATCCAGAGAACTGTATGAAGACAGCTGCACTGATGCTGCCCAACCTTTTCTACAGGCATCCAGGCCTCCAGTGCTTTAACAGCAGGTGAAAGATTCATCTCTCCGATTCCCACACTGCCAAATCTCAAGCGCGGAAAATCAATACCCTACATCAAATCAGCAATACTATCATGACTTTAGACACTCCCTTATCTAAAAACAGTTGCAGTATGTTTTGCTAGCATACTTGAGACATACTTGTTCAAACGGAATGGAATACAGCCTTTAGGCTTTATCTCAAAGGAGATTTGGACTCCCTCTGTGACTCCATATGGCTCATTAGGTTATTCACCCAAGACACAGGGCAGAGCAGATCATGTACTCTATGACAAATTGCTGCATTTCTGCATTTACATAAAACACCGTAGAATTGTGTTCTGCCGCAGCTAAACCATCTCCAACGTCATTTCACAGACTCTGGAAACATGACAACCCTGAGTTATTACAAAATGCAAGCTACTGAGCAGGGTCTCTTTTAGAACACCTCTGGATACGTTGATTTTTAGAAACACAATTATAGAGTTAAACTGCATGTGTGCTATGAAAATGAGAATATGTGTAACCATTTTGTTATATATATATATATAAAATAATTATCTTTATATTAAAATAAATACATACATTGGTTAAAAGTTGTAATGAACAATGGATGCAGGTCCTGTTGTGTGTACACAAAAATAGCAATAAACTATCCTTATAGTGTCACAGGTCTTTACAAGGTTATCATGGTTCCATCGTCTTCATCATTATCATTAAGGGCTTCTTAACCAGCTATGTGAAGTATAAGAGTCAAATATTTCCCCAAACCATTATTTCTGACAGTGTAGAGTATCTGGACTCACACTAGTGACTTTGCGGTATATCTGAGCAGCATTCTGACACTCGGAGTAGGGATACTCTGAAGTGGCCATCTCCAGCATACACATGCCGAAGGCGTACACATCCACAGCCTCATCGTAGTGTTCCTCGTACATCTCCGGAGCCATGAACTCTGGGGTGCCTGAAGAGAGAGGATCGTTCACATGTCGTGTACTTTTTTTTTTACTGTAAGCAGCATTAATCTGTCAAGTTACATCTTATTTCACCTACCTATGACGCTCTTAGCAAAGGAAGCCGCCTTAAGTGTTGCCAGCCCTAAATCTCCTATTTTGACCGAGCCTGTAGGTCCAGTGATAAAAATGTTGTCACATTTAAGGTCCCTGTGGATGATGGGAGGGGTCCTGGTGTGGAGAAAGTGAAGGCCTTTCAGGATCTGCCTGCACCAGCTCCTCAGAACCTTTGGCTTCATTACCTTGAAACGCTTCAGATAGCTGTAGAGGGGAGAGGGAAACACATTACCTGACAGCCGTATGAGTTTCAAAATGGCCTTTCAGTGAAACACAGATAGGCTGACCTTTCTTGGAGAATCTGAAGAAATAGTACACGTACAAATGTCACTGAAATCTGAGTAAGAATCTGTATAGGACAAAATTGAATTTCGAATGTTTCACTTTTTTGAAGGATTGGCCTTCACCAGTGCTTACGTTTTGAGCGTTCCTGACGTCATGAGCTCCGTTACTAAGACAATGCACTTCTTCCCTTTAAGGGGACACTCCCAAAAGTCATAGAAACGGACGATGTTAGGATGTTGAAGACCCTTCAACATCTCTGCCTCCTCCTTGAAGCGCTGACGTTCCACTTTAGACAGCTTGCGATCCTAGAGGAAAGAGGACAGATGCAGCAGAGAGAAGTAATGAATATGAAGCACGAAAGAAAAGAAACGTATTGTAGCACGTTTGCTTCACAGGAACAAGCAGATGGAGTGGGCCGTGCCCTCGGAGGAATTTCCCTGCACATTTCAAATGCAGGCATCCAGTATGTTTCAGCAAAGTGGGAAAGACAGAGTGAGTGTCAGTCTTTGAGCCGTATACACATCTCTAATTGGACCATATGTGTATCATAGCTGATGACAGCAGTGTGTGTGATTGGGAAGAATCAAGATCAGTGGATTTCTCAGAGAGTAAATAGATTCAGCCTAAACATTTTGTGTGTAATAATGAAAGGATGTTGAATACCAGTTCTCACAGGGAAGCATAGCGGCTGTGGAGAGTGGGTGACAACAGGAGCAGCTGTGGGGGAGATTGAATCCACTCATTGACGTGGCCACACCCAGGACACACTGCAGCTAAAGGTTACGTATCATCGATCTCTCCCATCTTGCTCACTCACTCCTCTACTACCTTTTGCTCCTTCTCCCCCCTCCCCCTTTCCCCCAGATCTGCAATCCGTCGCTGCACCCCGTACACCAACCACTCCCTTCTCCATAACCAAACAGCCCCTGCACACACGTCTTCGGTAAGTATCCATATAAATCGCTTCCTCAGTCCTCTGTGAGGCTGACCCTGCTCTGACAGCACCTTGCTTTTAGTTAGTGCCACGGGGTTATTTATCACGGCTTCCTTTTTTCCAAACTACCCCAGCAACGCCTTATGAAACAGACACACGCTGCACTCAGCACTGAGCATGGACCAGAAGCACGACCCCACCCCTCTCATAGACCGACGGCACCGACGGCGGTTGCGATAAAGACAATCTAGCGAGATCTAATCTATTTAATTATTCAACCACAGTCAACTTTCTGTGAGATGAAACTGCAGAACAAAATGTAAAAAATCAGCCTGAACAACATAGACATCATTAAGGGAACAAAACGTGCTGTGATACAATGCGTTGACGAGTGAAGGGAAGCGATGATAAAGCATGCCGTGTGTCTATGTGTGTGAGAATGTGGCATATTAGGTTTTGTGTGCAAGTGGGTGGGGGGTGGGGATTTTCACTGCACCCTTCTAAAGTCCCATGAATTATTCAGTTCTGCGGAGAACCTTTTCTACTGAGGCGGGCTGAGCGGGGAAGGGCTCGGGCCGCCCAAGTTGGGCTGGGTTTTCCCCGAGTGCTCTTTGCTGCACATGGACTGAAGTTTACCTGCACTACAGGTCAAAGAGGAGGAAGGAGACAGCTTGAAGCACACTGCAGCCCTCTCCCCCATAGGAGCCACACCCCTCATCTCCCCTCATTACCGTTTTATCTTTCATGCTCCCTCCTCCTCTCATCCGTTCTGCTCTCATCTTTAGGGAATCCTGCTGCTATTCGTAAATAACCCCCCCCTCGGAGTGTTCCCCCAAACACACCTTTATCGCTCTCTCATATCTGCTTTCCCTCTCAACAGACGCCACATGTAGGCTGAGAGGCGTTGTGCACAGCATGGCGAGATGCACAGACAGATATGCACACGGAGCAACCAGAAGAATGTCACTCTCAAGAGACCCTTACCAGAGATAGGATATCAATGTAAGCATCGGTAAGAGAGTCTGTAATTGCTGCATAGTGACTATAAGGAATGTGAGCATTTAACAACCGTGACTCGAGATTACATTAGACTTGACAAAAGAATAGCGCTGCAAACAGATCATTTAGTGTTTGTGTGTATATATGTTTTCATAATCTTATCAAATCTGCAATGTACACATGACTAAAGTACCCCCAGCTGGCTGCAGCAGAGTGTGGAGCCGCCCAGGCGAGATTAAACAGACACGCACAGAAAGCATAGCAGGAGGCAGGGAGAGGGGAATAGATTGTGACATTAGCAGGAAGCAATCTATGAAGCTGTGCTCTACTCGGCTGCCACCCAATACAGCGCTGAGCTGGACTATATTAGAGCCCAACTCTGCAAGCTCATTCAGATACACAGATCAGACCAGGTAATACATTCAAATGCAAGTTCTGGGAATTGTGCAGGCTAACACACCATGTGATGGCACAACTATGTGTTCAAATCAAGTTCCTGCTTTAAAGTCACATGTTGTCTGCAGTCCAGTTAAGGACAAAGAGCCTTTTCTAGGTAGAGCAAAGCACGAACACCGTTTCAGTTTGGCTTAAACTGAGGCCATATTTGCTGCAGAATGCACGGTATGCGCGGGTAGATGGTATCGCTGCAGGTGTCTTACAGTGGCCCTTTTTCGTTATTGGTAAAATTCCTTGCAAAGTTTACTTTTAGTTACCCAAATTAATCTGGACACTTGTGAAATATTTTTTGTTTCTAAGAGCAACATGCTGGATAATAACACTGATGTGCTATTGGGGAACTTTACTACCATTTGATACATAAAAAGCATGGCCCTTTTGAAGGAGCCTGGAATCTAGTCTGTAATATAGGCAGGATGGCTAATGCACCTTGATTATTGGACTAACAGGCTCATGCTGAGAGCAGAGTGAAACACACAGCAGCACAACATGAATCTGTCAAACATGAGCATCCTTCATGTGAAAAACAGTCCCAATAGTGCAGGGCTCCAAAAGCATATTCAATAGTTTATTGGAATATCTGCCTGAAAACAGCTTGCTGAGCTCAAACAACATAACAAACGATGGTGAGTCAGAACAATGCTTCACTGAGAACAGAATGACACAGCTAGTTTTTCCTGCAGTGATTGCATTTTTTGCTTGATATAAAAATAAAAATAAATTGTCAAGTGCTACCGGAATTTAGGGGGCTATATCGGGATGAGTGTCTCCTATTGATTATCCATTAATAGAATTCGACTGCGCCTAGTGGGGGAGCTGTCGGGCTAAAGAGTGTCAGGCAGGCCATCTCCCTGGAGCTTCAATCTCAGAAACATCCGACAGTTTCAAGAGCACAAAACACAGTGAGTGATAGATGCTGGTAGTGTTCGAAGACTGAAAAGAGTCACTTTATAGACACCAATTCTGAAGCTAGGAAGTTTAAATTGTAAAAATAAGTTTCATCTGTTACCTCACAAAATGGTTTTAGAAAAGCAGAAAGGTTGAGTCATGACCTTAATCAAAATGGATTCTTCTCATCCCATAATAGGAAATTACATAACTGCAAATGAAGGGTGTGAATGATCTTAATGAACCCAGTAGCCTTACACATAAGAACGGACAGATTCCAGTAGAGCAGGTATATGGAAAATAACCACTTCTATTAAATAAGCTCAGAAATGAATCCTGGTATGAAACAGCTACAACATATTTGCTGAATTATAAAATAGCACACTTGAATCCAAGTTGATGAATCACTTGTGATATTCTGGAATATGGGGAAAAAGGAAAACAATTTTTACAAGTTTGTTTATAAGTCTCTCGTGTGTGAATGGGCCTTTATGAGGGTTTGGCAGATACTCACTTTTTAACTATAACAAAATGTTTTGTTCACCTGTTTGAGTGTTGCTGTAATTTACAAATGATATGAAGAATCATATGGTCAACTGTGTGGGTCAAATGTTTAAGAAATCTCAGGACTACAATGCTTTGGCATATAAAATGACCAAGCAGAAGACCCAAGTCACCGGCTATTCTGGTTCATATTGTTCTTCTCATTCTCACAATTCCCCTAGCTAAAATCAGTCAACCAGTGAGATACACATCCGGTTGAGTAAACGTATTAGGAGCGCATTAGTCCCAATTAAGGCTGCATAATGACATGCTCAAAAAAGAAAATCTGTGTCATCTCCGTTTCACAGCTTTTGGTCGTAATTACAATTTCCGCTTTCCCCGCAATAAACTGGCCTCAAATTGAACCGTAGTTAATAAGGAGCAGATTAGCATCGTTTGGGCTTAGTAACAATAGTGTGACAGCGATGTATATTTAAACAACTCATCAACAAGTTCAACTATAAAACCTAGACAGCTGCTGAACCCAGTGTACTCAATGAATGTGTGCCACAACACTTGGCTTAGGAGATTATGAAAGAAAATATTTCAAATCTAACACACACACACACACACACACACACACACACACACACACACACACACACACACACACACACACACACACACACACACACACACACACACACACACACACAGTGATGCTTTATTGATCCGGCTATTGATCTCTTTTCTGGAGGTCAGTATGATACAAAACACCGACCATAAAAGCTGTGTCTTGGTCATAGCTTATTATTTAGAAAAGTCAACAATGCGGATATCCTGCATCCTGACACATGAAGCCAGGTTGCCAAGTTTAAGGAGGTATGCTAAATGACTTGGCTGCTCTGCCACCCTCTGCACCCATCCCCAAAATAACTATTGCAGTGCTTCTGCTGCCGTAACAAAAGGTTGGTGCAGGGCGGCAAACCATGAGCCAGCACAATGCCCACAGTTAAATTGTGTCCCATCAGGAGGAGTGACTGCAGGAGAGTTTTGGCCGACAGCTTTACCGGTCACTTTGTTTTCTCTATTTCACTGTTACCCAGACAAGCAGACACGCCACACCTAAGCTGTGCTAATTGGCACACTCGCACACAGGGTGGCACAGAATGACATTTTCAATAAAGAAGAGCTGGTGAGAGTGCTGTAAGGCTAAGAGAAGAGGAACTATACATATCACTACTGCTCGTCAAAGAGGAGCCAGAATGACAGGAACACTGACTTGATGACAAGATATACAGGTATGGTGAGGATACATCTGCACATGGCTAAATGATTGTTTCTGCCGTTTGTGTTTCAGGGGTTTTAGTTTAATACAATAAGGTGGAAGGAATTAGGAGAAGCTAAGAGGAGGGGATGACTGAAACAAACGGCCACACCCACAGCACCCTTAGTTAACAGGAAGGAAAGAGGAAAACAACAGCATGATGAAACACTTGGACTTATGCCTAACTTTAACTGTAAGTAGTCCATAGTGAAAGTTGG